AATGAGAAGTACAAGAACGGAAATTTTCTTACAAGTTTGTATCACAATGGGAACTCAGTGGAGTATAGTGTTTGCAAGCTTTGATTTAGCATTAATAGTCTATTTCATGCTCTGATTTAAATGATAATACAATCCCTTGATTTTATTAACAAAATAAGCTAAAAATATAGTTAAGCTTTCATGTGTAGTTAATGCTTTGTTTGGGATGGCTTTCTTACTACTTCTTAAAATAGTTTTCTAGTACAAAAGTAAAAAAACTGCTTCAAGAAGTAGTGAAAAAAGCTGTTTCAAACGAAGCCTTAGTTCTCCTCCATATATAGTTCTGATTACTTCAATCCTCAACTATATGTTGCTTCTGAGTACTATACATAATAAAAGATATATTATACTTAGGCTTCATTTGAGATAACTTTCTCATTGCTTATTAAAACAGCTTTTTAGTGCAAAAATATCTATTTCTAGAAGATTTTTAACTAAAATGCTGCTTTAGAAAGCATTAAGAAAACTGTCCCAAACGAAGCCTTACACGACTTAATTTAATCATTAGTATCTTTAGACGTAAATTTATCATCACCAATTGCAGGTTATTATGGGTCATGATGGATTTGTCCCCAGTTTAAGGCAACTATTATGTTATAGAGTTGTGGCCAATAAATGTAGCAGCTGAAACTGTTTAAGTTCCAGCAATATAAACACTAACGGCTAAGTTCCAAAATGACAATTTTAAATTAAAACATAAATTTCAGATATCTCCATTTCTTTTCCCTCATCACTTTGGTTTTCGCAAGCTCTGCTGTTCTTCTGAATATTTGGATGGCCTCATTTTCCTCTTGTTTCCACAATACTAAGTTTCATGCTAAGTCAACAAGATTCAAGTCCATGATGAACTGATCAAATTCATAAGGGAACAGATACACTTACATGTAAACTTCGTCTTAATCATAGAGAAATCATCAGCAAATCAACTACTTCTTCTAGCCAAGCCAGCTTGTTCTTCCAGTCAAGTATGCTATTTCTTCAGATCAAGCCGACAATTTCTTTCAGTCATATCAGTGAGTTAGGCTGGCTTTCTTATTGTATTTTAAAGCAACTTTCTAGTACATATTTTTTAAATCAAGAAAATTTGATATTAAAAATTCGTTTTAAAAAAGAGTAAGAAAATTGTCACAAATGAAACCTTAGTCTTATCAGGTTATCTAATAAACCTGTATGTAGCCAGTTTTATGCCTTTAAACTATGACCCGAACCTATAAATAAGTGATCAGAGATTGAGTTTCTCACTCTAGATTCACTTCATGCTCTCTCTCTCTCTGTCACTTTATATTTTCTTTTCCATTGAATTTGATTGTAAGGTTTTGATATAACTCCAATAATTTTGAATTTAACATTTGCACATTAACATTTCTATTTATTATTAATTGTTGGATAGTTGAAGTGGAGAAATGTATTGGGCATGTTATTGTTGTACCTGTTTAAACCTAACACTGAAAGTTGATGTAAAACTGAAAAAGAATTTATGTAGCCGACCCCATATGGGACAATGGCTTGTCATTGTTGTTGTATCTGTTTAAGCCCAATACTATAAGTTAAGATAAAACTAAATATTCATATAGCTGATCCCATACAGTGAGACAAAGACTTGTTGTTATGTATATTTAAACCCGATACTGAAAGCTTGAAATGTGAATAACATAAAGTTATGTCTTATTGATGATTTCATTTGTTCTCTTTCAATATTTCCAAAGAAAAGAAATATACGCATAGTATAGGATTTATTGTTAAATAATTGCTGACATGCTGTTTTTCTGAAAAGAAAAGTAAAAGAATAATAGCACTACAAAATGAGTCCTTATTTGACTTAAGCACTTACCGTACCGGGTCATTAGTCAATAACTCAAGCCCACTATATCGAATTAGGCTCAATTAAGACAATTCATTAAACCATCTATGTCCTACATAGTGCGAATCAATGATGAAATGATGAATCAAAGGATTAGTTCTAAGATTAACTCATTAGAGAGATGAGTCATTTTAGGTCAACCTAGATCCAAAAAAGGTCAAATGACCGAAGTACCTTGTTAACTCATTAGGGAGATGAGTCATTTTAGGTCAACCTAGATCCAAAAAAGGTCAAATGACCAAAGTACATTGTATAAATTTAGTTGGGTATGTAGAACCGAACCTAGCTGGTTCAATTGAAATGGCCAATCACTGTAACAGGAGACGGACGCGAGCTTAACTACACCTGGGCGAACCGCACTCAAGCATAGGGGCTTTGAACGGGATTGGACCACAAACCTGAGTGAAGAAACGCGTAAGGGAGTGAAGACTTGCGGCTCGTCGTGAGTCATAACTTATGTTCGCTCACTCCTGTAGGAGAAAAACAAGTGAGAAGCTTTGTACTAAGAGGAAATCGTGCAAATAGGAAGAAAAAGGAGAAGGAAGGTAAGTTGTGTCTTTTTCTTCAATTTTTTTGTGTAAACCTTTTCATGATTTAAGCCTAAGAAAGGAGTTGAGTGCAGAGAAAGAGAGTTTGGAAGAGGAAGAAAAAGAATTTGGGGTTTTGGAGTTTCATCCATTCTCTAACGGTGGAGGAAATGGTAAGTACTTAAATTATGGAGAGGAAGGAAAGATTTTTGTGAGGTAATTCTATGTTATAGTGTAATAAATTGTGGAGAAAATTTGATGTTGCTTTTAATGATATTTAAGGCATCCAAATTAGGTTTTAGTAGTAATAAAAATATTATCAATTGTGGAAGATTTTTCGTACTAAATGAGTATTGGAAGTCAATATCAGGCTTGAGATTGAAAGGAAATTGAAGCACGAAAGCGACCAAGTGGGCAATTACAAAATTTTTATGTTAATTACAATCAGTTATTTCAATTATTGCATGCCATAGTATTATGTTGACTAAATGTTTAAGTTATGAAAAGAAATAATTGAGAAGCATGAGATGGATGATTATGTTAGTTATAATAAAATTATTTTCTCTATATTATCTGCATTGTTGAATGTTATATATATATATATATATACACACACAATAAAAAAAAATATCTTTATAGATGTATATAATAAATAAATATTAATATGAAATGAAAAGTAAATTAAAAAGGGAAATGTGCATGGATGCAAATTATAGGAGTTCACTCTTTTATGATATTGATTGGGGATGCAACATACCCGTACATGTTAAATGGAAATAAAAATGATTTTACCTTCATTAGTACAACTTTTAGAAAGTGATCCTATACTAAATGAGAAAAATAAAAGGGATACATGAGAAAATGAAAAATGAATTGATTCTATATAATTTTATAGATATAATAAAAATTCGAGGAAGGCTAGTATAAATTATCTTTGATATAGGAGCTTCTCACTCCTTCATTTCAAAGGAATTTGTAAAAATAGTTGAATTGAATGTTCATGAAGTACCCATAATTTTAAAAGTATTAATGCCACAGGGGTCCAAAATGAATGTTCATAGTTTATTCCAAGTCAAATTTATAATAAATGAGAGGAAATTTGAAGCAATTCTGAATGTTTTACCGTTATATGAATTTGATATGATTTTGGGAATGGATTGAATATCAAATCACTTTGTGATAATAGATTGCAATAGAAAGATAATTAAATTTAAATTTAAATTCTGGAGTGAAAAAGAATGTAAAAGTTTTGGAGATAGAAGAATTTCTTCAATGGTAATCATTGATATGAAAGCTTGCGAATTGCTATCTAAGAAATATTGCAAGAAACTCATCTTTTTTACTATGAAGTTCATCCATGCAGTATAAAAATGTATCAAAAATTGAGAGAATTATTTTGGTGGTCAGGATTAAAAAAAGTGTTGTAAAATTTGTAGCAAAATATATTTCCTATCAAATGATTAAAGCTGAATATCAAAAGTTAGGTGGTCAATCACAACTTTTACCTATGGATTTTGTAATTAAATTATCCAAGTTAAGATGAAGTAGGGATGCTATTTGGGTTATAATTGATCGATTAATAAAGTATGCTCATTTCTTACCAATCAAACAAACTGATTGAGTAGGAAAATTAACAAAGATAGATGTTGATGAAGTTGTGAGGTTGTATGTAATTTTAAAATTTATAATCTCTGATAGAGATACTCGATTAACTTATAGATTGTGAAAAAAAATTCAAAAAACTTTGGGTATCAAATTGACTTTTAGCACTATATTTCATTCTCAAACATATGTGCAATCATAAAGAACAATTCAAATAAATTATGTATATATGTACATATTTCTCTTTTTTTTTATATAATGAAAAATACTCTATCAAATGACTTATATTGACCTTCATTTGGGTTTATATAGTATCAGTGTTCTTGTTGAGACATTCAGTTCAACTAAGTTTGTTGAAACCTCAATTCAAATTATCATGAATTTAATTTTGAATATTTTAAATTCAAATATTATCTCAAGATTCATGTTGGTCAAGTTTTTTTTTTTTTTTTCAAATGGCCATATTTGATTTTAAAGAATTTTTTAATAGACTCAAAAGTGATTGAGTAGAATATTTATTTTCAATTTTGAGTTCAAGTTTGACTAACTCTCCTCTTTGACCCCTTGTAGTTCGATCCTTTGCCTTTAACTTACAATAGCAGAACAATTTCAATCAGGTTGAAGCCTTACTTTTTCTTCTTACTGAATTTTTCATATAAAAAACATTTTTGCTATCAACTTATTTCATATACGATACTTTCATAAAACCCTAAAATATTAAAATTATATATATATATAAATTATAATATATAAATTATATTAAGATGATTTTAAAAATCATTATATATATTGTAAAAGTAATATTTTATATAAAGAGTTATATTATATTAATATCAAAATAAATATAATAAAATACTAAATTCATTTTAATTTAAATTATATTAAAATATTTTACATAGTTTTTATTCTTTTGAAGAATGTTGGAAAGAGGCATTTAACAAGTTCTTAACAGTAAATTACCAACAACTCATGAGGGCTATGAAACCATCAGAAAAAAAACATGGATGCGTATGCTTGCAGATTGGCCAATGGACACCACTATATATACGACTCTAATCGACGCAGCGTATTCCTTCCCAGCATTCGCATTAAAAGGATCACGGAAGATGGATTACATCAAGAAGTAATTCCGATATCTCCTCAAGTAGATTAGGGTTTCTTTCCCGATTCCATTTTCGTTCTCCTTTCATCAACTTGATCCAATTCTCGACCCTTAACTTCTCCTATGCGTTTCCCTTCTTCCTGAACCCGATCTAATGATCCCCCAGACGGGCGGTTTTCGTTCTCCTCCTCGTCATCGGGAGTAGTTCGGGCTCAAAAAATCGCCGGCGAAGTCGAGATTGGGTTGTTTGCCGAGGGGCTGTAAGCTGCAGGAAAATTGGCGCCGCTGCGGAGATCACAGCGCCACATGGGTGGTGGCCAGATACAGCAGGGCAAAGCCTCGGCGGCGGCGACTGCAGTGTATGACCACCATCATGGCGCAGTTCCCGGTGGGGACGCAGGCGACGCGATAATGGCGCGGTGGCTACAGTCGGCCGGGCTGCAGCACCTCGCTTCGCCGCTAGCGTCTGCTGACCAGAGATTGCTGCCGAATCTTCTCATGCAGGTATGAAAACTACTTTCTTTGGGTTGGCGTGGGGTTAGAGAAGATAATGGCGTTTGGATCTTGGAACATGTGTTGGCGGTTTTGTAGATCGAGGATAGCGATTGGCTTTCTATGGTAATCGTTCATGGATCTGGGATTGTAATGTCTGCATTTGTCTTATATCTTTGTGTTCTGGCACATGCATGATTATGTGAAATGGGAATGAACTGGATTTAGCCATGCCGGTTTCTTAACTGAGATTTATAGTGTTGATGTCTCTGGGTTTGTCTTTAATCAAAAGCCTCTCGAAAAGTTCCTACATTTGGGAATTCAATCATTTCTAGTATATGACCCATACCAGACTAAGCCCCGTAGGTCAATTTTATAGTTCCTGCGTCCTTTATTTATTCGAGTACTTAAGTTTTATTTGTTGGACTGAAGTTTGCTTACTATTGCCACTTCTAATGGTTCGTTCTGGATTAAGATTTTATGTTTTGTGCGACGTTCTAATATCCTTTACATTATTGATAGGGCTATGGACCTCAATCTGCTGAGGAGAAGCAGAGGCTCTTGAAACTGTTAAGAAATTTGAATTTCAGTGGTGAATCTGGATCGGAACTTTATGCTCAAACGAATACGCATGGTTTTGGTACAACTGTTCCAACAGATGGCTTTTATTCACCTGAGCTCAGAGGTGAATTTGGAGCTGGTCTTTTAGATCTTCATTCCATGGATGATATGGAACTCCTTTCTGAGGTTAGATTGCTTTGCATAACACGGGGATGTATCTTTAATATACTTTTATTCTACAGTAAAATGAACTCATATGTTATGTCAGTTGGTGGTAAAATCAACCTTCATGTTGATGACAATTGAACTCTTTTTCGGAAGAATTGCAAAAGAAAATGTGGATAGTTTCAATTAAATTTGAATTTTGATATAGGTGTGCAATCTAGACATACATTAGATTGGAGTTGTTATGATGATTCTCTACATGACAAACTTATGATTACTAGTAAGTTTGCATGTGCATCAAGTGCACTTATTTGATTATTAAAATATATATGCTTATAAAAAAAGGGTATGTGCATAGAATGTATGTGAATTCTTATATTTTTTATACTGCTGTTGAACAAGCTAAGCCTGTATTTATAAATAATTATTGTTTGCTCATTGCTTGAAAAGACATGCAAATTTAAAAGAGAGCTTTTAAAAAATCAATATAAAACGTTTATATGGGATACTTTAACGTAAGATTAAGATATGTCTCATTCACGCATTTATTAAGAAATTTGAGAGGATTGAGATCTTTATTCAATGGACTTTCAAACTCTTTTATATGATAAATGTGAGTTGAAATAATGATGCTAAAGATTGATTGGTCAAGGTCTTTGGAGACTGTTGGTTGTTGGTGTACTCATAGTGTCAACTTTGGCTAGATAAGAAAATTACAGTTATTTTGTATCACAAAGAAGAGACAACTCGAGGTTTTTTTAGAAGAGCATTCTTTCTCATATCGTGAATTGGGGGTTTGTAATCTTATTGATCTTGTGGATTTCAACTCACCATAGACATTGAAGTGACAAAATGTCCAAGATATACATTAATTTATCATCATCTGAAATAGATTTATGTGTAGCAACTAACAACTCACAAATAGCTTTGAAATTATTTAAGTAGTTGGTTATGGAAAATTTATCTCTCTTGCACATAAGTAATTTGACTTTGAGTTGTTGCTCCACTTCCCCCAAAAAATCATTCCTGAACATGTTCATATGGCATGGGTTGAAGGGAGATGGTGTTGGAGGACTCAGTTCCATAAGGAAAACCCAATTTCTTCGAATGTTCATTAGGTCTTAAATTGTCCTTTTTGAACAAGGTAGTTCGACTTGTCCAACTTGAGACTCACTTCCACACCACAGGCAAGTGAAGTAATATCGAGTAGCAAGTAGCTTCAAAGGAAGGATAAGGCTCCCCTACGTTTAGGCTAGCGCATGTAGGCATAAAGCATTGATGCTAGGGTGAGTTGTTTTTGTCAGCCAAAGATAAGAATTCATTTTGCTACTCTAATGGAGCGGAGAACTACCTTCGTAGAAGCAACTAAGCAGTCTTGAAATAGATCTGGTTCACAACTTCGAATGGGCCAAGCAAGAAGTATCATTGATAAGAGGGGATACTGGTGTAAGGCAAGGTCTTTCTTTCCCTATTCTTCCAATAAGGAAAGGAAGGGATGATGACGGATACCAAGCTAAACAAATTGCATATCCCTTGTTGAGAGGCATTAAGATAGGATGTCGATGAAGACTTACAATAGTTTCTAGGACAAAGAAGGCTAACAAGGTTCACTTAGCACAGCCGTAAGGTATCTATGAACTACCAAATGAAAGGAGTCAACTTAAACTAAGGGATAACCATTCACTCTGTTTGTGTCCTACGACTCTTCCTACATGAATTGACTATACCAGCCACTCTATTTGAAAGGAGACGACACTGAGGAACAAGTACTCGATCAAAGCGATAGGAACTAGACAATGCAAACCTGAATTCAATCCTCCCCGACGAGAGGAATTAAACAATAACTGAAAAGGTTATGCTTGGACGTCTAGTTAGCTAGTCCCTTCACTGTACATAAAAGTACATCCATAGAAACAAAACAAGGGTGCAGCTTTGTACAAGTTTGGAACTCATTCTGTTGGACTCACTACACCACAAAAGGGAAATAGGTACCCACCAAACACACTCAAACCATACCCATTTCTTTCCAATTCAATATGCCACCCTTTCTTATGGGGAATATTATGAAATCTGGACAAGATTGGTATGTGCTATACCAAAACACAGATGGGTGCAAATTCATCTGATCAACTCTCCTAGGCCTAGGCCTAGTCTTTACGTACACACACCCAAGGCATTATACACAACAACCTAATTCTTCTTGAACCTATTGCCTTCATTTTTATTGTCTCATAAAAATAAATGAAGAAGTGTAGATTGAGAGTCACTTTCTCTTTCTCTTCTTTTTCAGATGGTCGAGTCAATAAGGTATGCTTACTAGATAGTATGCATTTGCATCAATTGCTATTTAGAAATGCTTATAAAAAATTGCTATGTGCATAAAAAATGTGAAGAGTTTCAATGAAATTTGATGTAGGTGTGCAATCTAGAAATGCATTAGGTTGGAATTATTATGGTGATTCTCCACTTTGCAAACTTATGATTGCTCGTAAGTATGCACGGGCATCTAGTGCACTTATTTGATTATTAAAATATAAATGTTTATAAAAAAATCATAGTTATTGGACTCGAACCTTACCCAAAAACCCATTTTGACACTTCTAGGTATTAAGATTAGTCATTTACTTGTTTACATGAATAAGACACGTCATGTTAATGATTGAACATCTATAATCATCATGTGAATGCAGTATGTGCAAAGGAACTTATGATTATTAAGCTAGTTGGCTATGTGTTAAGATTAGTTCATACTTGCTTACGTGAATAAAACACATCATTTGAATCATTGCACGACAAGTCGACAATCATCATTATGTGAATGCAAGATGTGTCATTAATTTCATTTCACATGGAAAATAGAGCAACTTGAAATTAACAACATAACATTGGTATTTTGAATCAATATTCATTTTTATTTTCAAATTTAAAAAGGAAAGTTATTGAAAGTTATGACTACTTTTACATTGATGAGTGCGTTGATTCGCATGTGATCTTTATGGTTTTGAAGCCACGGAGGGGGGTGGGCTTTTCTTGGTATGTTACTTGTCAAAATTGTGGCATATTAAGTTTTTGAAAAGAGTAACCAAGGAGCAATTCATTACTAATCTTAGCTTTGATTTATGAAAATGAAAGTATATATTCTTAATCCATATGTTTAAACATGGTATAAAATGGTCAACTGGAACGGGAAGGTGATGAGGGTCGATTTTGGGAGGAGAATTTTGTGATGGATGTATTTGATGCTCATTTTCTTGCAAGCAAGTTATACCAATAAGAAATACAAATACGTATTCTAAAATTAATTTGAAATATGATCTTGAGAATATTAATAAAATTAATTGATTAGAATATGTTTTCAGTAACTGTTTTTGTACAAAATCGTGCTTAAGCTGGAATAATTAATATTAGTCTACACTCATAATAAACAAATTTCATTGATATTTGATGTAACTATTATTATTCTAGCTAAAAATATGAGATTTATATAATAAACTTGTTAGAGTAATAAAATAATCTTGCATAAAAAGTTCATATGATATAAGTTTATGTAAAATAAAAAAATTTATTTCTTATTATTTAGTAGTTATATAAATTTTAATTACAGTTATTAAATTTCATAATAAAAGTAATGACATTATGTTTTATTCTTTTTTTTTTGACAATAGTTCATTCCAGTATATTTTTTCCCATTATTTAGTAGTTTTTTTAGTATAGAATGTAAGCATTATTATTTTAGTTAGGTAAAAAATTTAAAAATGCTTGTTAGATTGTGTAAGTTAGCCAAAATGCTTATTATCCAAATTAAACTATTATTAGTTCATAGCTCCATAAAAATAGATTATTATGTTTGTATGTTTAAGCCAACCTCCCAAATGGACTTTTGTCTGCAAAAAAGAACACAAATAACAAATGTTTTAATGTTTTCTTTGAAAAGGAAAACAACATAGAAACAATAGGCCTATTTGAAATAACTTTATTTTTCCTTAAACATGTTTGTTTAAGTTTAGTTTATTTTTTTCACTGTTTTGATTTTTTTTTAATTTTAAAAATAAATCAATTTGTTTTAAAAAACACTCAAAAATCTCAAAGCTATTTTGAGTATTTTTAAAAACAGCCGTCACAATTGATCACAACCACTAGTACGGCTATCATCATCTCAATAGTCAATGTCACTGCCGTGCTGATGACTCATAAAATAATTTATTTGATTGTTAATAAAAATAAAAACCACATATGTTTAAGTTACTAAATATATTTTTATTTCATAACAAAACAAATAAAGAAAAAGAAAATCGAGAAAAATAAAAGTGATCCAAAACTTCTAAACAAAAGGAAATCAAATCAAAACCCAAGAGTGATTTTGAAATGGACGTTTAGGGATAAAAACTTTTCATTGTACAGTTTGGCAAATTAACTTAATTATATTTTATATTGCGTCTTCCATTTTCTTTCCTCTGTACCTGGGATTGAGGTCTTCTGTGGCTCGCATTCTATAGTCAATGTACAATTAGAAGCCTATGAATTGCCACTTCTTGCATTTGTGCTGATGGAGATATTTGGTGATTTTTTATTATTTTTTAGTGATCAATTAATTTCTTTATTTATTGCTTTTGCAGCATGTAATGTCAGAAGAACCATTTGAGACATCACCATTCATACCTGCTCAGGGATTTGATGATGACTTCGAAGCAATATCAATTAAGCAACAAGGTCCATCTGAAGGCAATATTAAAGCATCATCTAATGATGAAGAAACTAGTGCTAGGGAGAACAATGTTGCCAAGATCAAAGTAGTGGTGAGTTGAGTTTTTGGATGCTTTAACCTTAGTTCTTTTTGGCTGTCTTGGTGGAGGTTTATATCTTGGGAGTATGCTCATTTTTTTGTTGGAATTACTGGCTTTGTGCTGGCCGAATTGAAGTGCAAAAATATGAAGAAGGTGTGATAATTTTGTTAGGAATCTTTGAGTTAAAGCTAAAGCAGCATGCCTTAGCTCTCTTCATCCCCTTTTTTTTCACAGTCTTTGGTGATTCTCTGACTTTCCATCTAGTTGCAAAGTGCCTGCTATATTCATATTCAAATATTAAGTCCATGAAAGTTTTAGAATTCCATGTTCTGATTGCTTGCTAAGCAAATGCAGAATCTCAGCACAATTGTACATTTTTTTATAATATTTTTAATGCTAAACTGCAAGCTTGAATAGAAAGTTTGATGCATGATGACTAAGGATCTAAAATTCACTAATATAAATCTTGGATGGCATGTGCAAAAAATATATAAAGATCAATATTTATAGGTTCTCAACTTCTAACTATGTTACACTTGTTCTTATTGTTGCACCCTATTTTGCACATGCTCAAACTAATATACTATGTTTTAATACATTATATTCATTAAGCTGCTCTCATCTTGCACTTCTCTCTTTAGCCTTTTTAGTTTTTCCAAACTTCCTTCTTTTCATCTCATTCTACCACACTCAGTTTGTTGTCAATGACTACATTCATTTGCATATTAGGTGTTCTTCAAAATGAATATTTAAGTTTCAATGGTATTTTCTTATCATAGTATTCCGAAGGCATTTATATTTTGTTGTTGTGTTCTCATTTGTATTCTCATTATGTTGTATAATGGATCCAAGGTTTGTATGTGTGATATCTTCACATCACTTGATCGTTCAGCGCTTTGACTAACAGCTATCAGCTTCATATCCCTTAAAATTAGACATATTGAAGATGATTTTCTTATGGAATGAATCCAAGTTGGCTTTTGTTCTACTAAATCTAAGCCCTTCATGCATTAAGGGTAGTAAAATTAGAATAAATAATTCTAATCATGTGGAACAAGGTGTTCAAGGAGCATGATCAACCAGTTTAAATTATTTCCCGTTGAACCATTGAATGATTTATGAGAAACAGCGATTAGGGAGGAGACATGATGGAAACATGTAGTGCACTGATTTATGAGAAAGAGCAATTGCGGAATGATCAAGATAGAGAGAATTAATGTTTGATGCATTTTAAGACTTGTGGCTTTCGATGTTTGTTTCATTTTAAAGCTTATGTGGCTCTCTTTTTCTATCCCTTTTTTAAATCCTTTCTGCCGCGACCAATGTACATGTTTGCCACATATCCCTCCCTCAGGCCAAGCCCATCATAGCCACTAATTTCATGTAAAAGATTTTGTGTACAAATGATAATGACAAAAATGGTCATGATAAAATAGACAAGGGCAATGTTGTTCTATTGGAGCCTAATTTTATTTTAAAATGGTACAGTATAAAACACATAAAAGGTCCTATTTGGAGTATTCTTAAAGTGTAAGGTTCATTTATGACCAACATGTTAAAAGAAGAGTTGACCGGTTGGCCGGCCCTTTTTCCATATTTCAATACAGAAGATCCATCGTTGTAATTTACCCCTAATATGTAGAATGTCTTTATAATTTTTGGGAGCAAATATGCACGCATATATCTGATTGGTAATAAAATTCTATTATCACCTCAATTGAAATTGGATTGTATTGGATGAGAATGTGTAGTAGTTAATCATTGGACCATGTGAGTCCTTATAGCCAACTTGGGGCTCTTTTGATGTGGCTAGCAAATCATAGAAATAGAAGGGTTTTATCCCCAAATCAGTTGATGGTTTCTCTCAGGAACCGTATCTCTTATTTCTTATTATTTATTTTGTGTGAATTTGGAGAGTTATAAGCTGTGCGTTGAACTGAGATTTTTTACTGTTCCTTGACTATACTTTTTCAGGTTCGTAAAAGACCTCTTAACAAGAAGGAGATTTCTAGAAAGGAAGAAGATATTGTAACAGTACATGAAAATGCATATTTAACTGTTCATGAGCCTAAGTTAAAGGTTTGGTTGCACTTCTCTCTATTGTATTTTCTCACATTTGCGGTGTTTTATCATCTACCCAAAAGTTGGGATAAGGCTAATAATGATGATGATAAATTTTTGTGGTGTTTATGTTTTGTCTCAAAATTTTCACTATTTTAAAGTTTTGTACATGATACATAACGTGTTACCTATATAATGTTTGTAAAGAAGTTACAAAAAAATTAATGGATAGTAAGTCTATTACACTCCTACATGATCATCTTGGTAAAAGATGATGGAAGATTACAAAAGGAATCACCAACCCAATGAAAATTACCAAAGGTAGCTAAGGAGGCACAACAATCCGCCACCTTATTACAATGAGAAGGAACACAGAGAAAGATGACTTGATGAAAATCAGTGAGAAAAGACAAATCCACCTTCATACAATGCAATTCCATCTTCTTATCTCCCTTCACAAATTTCTGACAAAAATTCATTCATCACATTCCAATTATCACCCTCAATGATGATACCTTGCATATCATACATCCGATCTTGAACCATATACGAAATTGCACAAATAGAAATCAATTCCACTTGAGCACTATCCCAATGATATTACTTCCTTCCAAAAGCCCCTAAGAATCTTCCTTTATAATCTATTGCAATACCTCCAATGCCTGCCAAATTCGATGAAATTAGAGCACCATCCACATTGATCTTAATCCAAGGAGGAGGGGGCTGCCAAAAATTAACATTCAGCTGTGACAGCTGGTTGGCATCCTAGTAGACCTTAATTGGATTAAAATGAGACTTAAAGTATAATTCAGCACCTGCACAGCTGCTAACGAAGGCGTGAAACCCGAAGAACCATGCGTAAACACAGTATGGGCTTGTGCATAGAAGATTGTGGCTGCATATGTAAGGTCATTGTAGATCAAAATTAGCATAGAGCATATTATCAGCATCAGACATGGCTTGGTATGTTGTCGTTAAATAATAAGTTCTCATGAAGGGTTTGTAGGTTATTTAACACATTCCTAATTGGTTTTAGAGGCCTTGAACCTAATGGTAGGCTTATGGCGGAAAATCCCGCAATTACTATTTGGTTGTAATAAAAGTTATGGTTTTATGTTGGCATTATTGAAGCATGAAAGTCTTAAAGGCCTAGGGGCTGTTTGGTTTGAAGTAAAATAGGTACAAAGTATTCCAAATACATGGATTTTGAAATTATTGGTTTTTGGTTTGAAGTAAAAGACATACTGAGTAAAGTTTTTCTCTATTTGGAATGAACCCTCTAGTGCAATTATTGTGTATTTGAAAATCGTTAGGTTTGGGCGATTTTCTAACACGCCATAAATTTTTTGTCATTGTTGTCGGCGGCCTCCACCAATTGCCGTCGCCAACTCCTACTTACCACTGGCCATTATCCATCATCATTATTGGACTTCACATTGCATTCATTTTACTTCGAGCAAAAAAAAAAAAACTTGCATTTATTTTACATTCATCCAAACAACTCCAAACATTTTAAATATATTACATTCCTTTTACATTATATTTCATTTTTATTTTGCATTCTTTTTTCAGCCAACCAAATTGAGCATCGCTTCAATAGCACATTTATCAACATTGCTCCAATAACTCGCCAACAACAGCATGCAAAGCTGTAAAACAGCAATCACACTTGTGATAATGCTCTAATTGAAGTATCTACTAATATTTATTTGTTGGGGTATTTGTTAATAGGGAGATTAATGTTTAGGATTAAGTGAGACTTGCTAATAAGGAGATTAATGTTTACGATTAATTGAGACCAAATCTCTATTATTCATATTTCTATGTTGGTCTATATTAACCTTTTAAGATAATCCAGATTCTAATATCGGAGAATGAAATTGAAGTTCATCTATTTGATTTAGTCAGTAGGTTTTTTGTTTGAAGATGATGCCGGAAACAATTAACACTAATTATTCTGGTAAAATGATGAGCCTTCATTGCTAATTTGAGCTTAACTAAAGAAATAAGCATAATCCTTATGTATTATTTGGGTCAGCTAAACCATATCATCATCAGTAATTTCATGGTGAAAATTTAAGAACAAAGTATTTGGATATCGCCTGTAGAATACAAGTGCAAGTAGAATAAAGTATTTGGATATCGCCAGTAGAATACAAGTGCAAGGCTTGACTATTGCCAGACTTAGATCACAAGCAATTCTTCTTACTGTTTTTCAGCAGTTGCTCATAATTCTTGGAATGTGGTAATTTGAATTGACTTTGCACAACAGATTTAAATTATTTAAAGAGGTACGACCCAGCCCAGGAGGATGCTCTAGACAGCTGTACTTCCATGGACACTTGAGATTTCTAAGTGTCATGCCTTTCTTGTTATCCTCAAGCTTAATAAATAGCAGAACCATACACTTTGCACTTCACTTTTAATTACCTGACATTTTTTTTGATTGATTGTTTTTTATTTTTTAAAGATGATTGGCTAACTAAATCTTGCAGTCTATACATGTTTTGAAGTTTAGGTCTATTTTGTTTCTAAGTTTGCAAGAATTTTCCTTCTTGCTTATTTTCCCTGGTTAGTCAAATTGCTTATATTTTCAATTGAATTTATTATTTATTGATTTGATTCCGAGATAACACTAAATAAATATGAGCACTCTCATCTTATTAGATTTTAGCAACATCATTTCTATTAGCACTTGAAGGTGGGATTTATCCTCCAGTAACACTCGTGGCAAGGCACTTAGCATGCCTTTTTTGGTCAACGTTTGCACTAGTGATTTATAGAGGAATTAAGCTAATTTGTATTACATTAAAATTATGGGAGAGAGTAATTGAGCATAGTTTACGATGTGATACTATTGTTTCTCAAAATCAATTTGGATTCATGCCTGGTAGATCTACTATAGAAGTTATACATTTGTTGAAAGGTTTGATGGAGAAGTATAAAGAGAGTAAGGAGGTTCTATATATGATATTTATTGATTTAGAGAAAACATGTGATAATGTTATAAGAGAAGTGCTCTGGAGAGTTTTGGAAAAAAAAAGAGTTAATAATGCTTATATTCAAGTCATTAAGGATATGTATATAGGAGCTTATATTTGTGTCTAAACACAGGGTGTTTTGATAAAGTATTTACCTATTTTAGTTAAGATTACATGAAGGAACAGCTTTAAGCCTATATCTTTTTGTTTTATTCATGGATGTTTTTACTAGATTTTTACAGGAGGGCGTACCTTGGTGTATGCTTTTTATTGATTATATTCTTCTTGATGATAAGACTAAAGAGGGAGTTGATGAAAAACTTGAATTATGGAAGCCAACCTTAGAGTCTAAAGGTTTTCGTTTGAGTAGATCTAAAATCGAATGCGGGGAGTGTAATTTTAACAGTAATAGATCTAGTGGTGGGATGACATTGGGTGATGAAGACATTAAAAAGAGTGCACGTTTTATATATCCCGGGTCTGTTGTTCAAAGCAAAGTTGAAATGAATGGGGATATTATTAGTATAATTCAAGTTGGATGTTTGAAGTGGAGGGGAATGCATCAAGATTGTTGATAGAAAAGTACCTCTCAAACTTGAAAGAAAATTTTATAAGATGGTGGTGAGACTTGCAATGTTTTATGGCATAGATTATTAGGCATTAAAATAGAAGCATAAAATTAAGTATTGCAAAGATGAGCATGTTGAGGTGGATGAGTGGCTTACATTTTGAGATATAATATAAAATGATTATATACATGAAAATGTTGGAGTAGCTCCAATGACAAATAAGATTAGAGAGAGTCTGCTCAGTAGGTTTGGTCATATAAAGCATTAGACTTTTGTTGACCCTCTTTGGAGAGTATATATTTTTAGATCTGGACTATTTTAAAAAAAGGTGAGATAGACCTAAAAAGACGTTGGCTAGTGTTAAAAATGGTATTTTTATTTAAATGAGAATTTGACTCATAATAAGACACTATGGAGAAAAAAAGATTCTTGAAGCTGACCCCACGTAGTAGTATAAAGGCTTGTTATTGTTTTTGCTAGCACTAGTGATCGTGTCAAATGTCAATAGTTTGGTTTCATACAAGATCATAGTTGATCCTCCTCTGATCTAACAATATTATGCTCAGAACTTGAATCGACTATATATTATCCAATGCTGATTTGGATCTGAATCTTTAACCTGATATCTAATTCTGCTTAAACAGGACCTCTTATTTGAGGGTTGTACTAAGCTGTGAAATTTGTTGGTAACAATGCGTATAATGCTAGTGCTCAAATTTTTTTAAAATATCAGTTTTCTTAATCATTATGCTGATTAGGGAAGAACTGTGAATTTTGAGGGGGTATTATTAAGAAAGTTTGATAGTTCATTCATCAATAAATTAAATATTTTGGCTTATATAATGTTAATGGTTTCCCTGTCTTCCAACCTCCTACATAACTGCTTTACTCACAATAGTTCTAATTCCCGTCAAATCAATGCATCAATGGGATGAAATGGGTAGGGGTGCATTTGGAGCGGCAATTAATGGGCAAGTAGTGCAATGCAATTCATGGAAAAAGTAATGGCATGTGCCACACCCACATAGTGGTATGATTGCGACCCCTGTGTGAAGCGGTGGTAGATGAGATTCTTATTGTCACACCTACTTACCCTAAATTTTGATTTTTTTGATTGCCAGTCTCTAGTTCTCAAGGCTAATCAAACTCAATTTTTGCATATTTCTGTTAAATGATATTTGATGAATCATTAAAGAACATCTCTTTATCATCCCCCATGATTAGTTGTCAAGCTGTTTCTATCCTCATTATCTTAATTCACAATTTTTTTGGTGGCTCAACCCCCTATGGCCTACCTAGAAAGGAAGGATCATCACTGGGGTTTTCTTTGTTGTCACAATAAAGCATGCCTTGAATCTCAAAAGGTATAGCTAGAAGGATCATGTATTTCCTTAACCATGATTTTCTTATTGCAAACTTTTTCCAACATTTTTTAATAGAAAAATATCATATTAGACATTTTTATAATATTCTACATTGTAAATGAATACCGTATTTTTCAAAAGTAATGCTTTGTGATGGATATGTTTTGATTTAATTGGTAGCAAGTAGTGCAGCGGTACTTATGAATGTCATGTTATGGTGAAAGACTCAAAATAATTGTAAAACATAGTTCATAAAGAATAAAATTCTCATGATAGCCAACTATCATTGAATATGTTTGCTTGGTCAACTAGTTGATTGAAGAGAAGAGAGGTGGGAAAGTTATAGTAGTTGTTTGTCAGTGAGTCTGGGGAGAGCGTGGAAAGACAAAAATGAGAGCCTAGGAGGTTGAAGGTTAATTGAAATCGTTGTGGCTGTTTTTAATGTTAAAGGCTTGGTGCAGAATTGAAATTCTCACTATATATATATATATATATATATATATGTAGTTGAATCTCAAGTTGGACATAATTATAATTACTCCAACCTGGACCTGTAGAGAACATTCAGTTTCAAATATTAGGATGGTCATATTTTTTTATATGCATAAGCTGGATGTCAACATGATGCACAATGGTTCACTCCCTAGCAAAGGCTTAGATTTCTTTTGGGACGGCTTTTTTACTGTTTCTTGAAGAAGATTTTTAATACAAACTTTAAGAAACATTAAGAAAGTCTTTCCAAATGAAACTTTAGTCTTCTATAAAGTTCTCCACACATATAAATAAGCTGAGAATATTTCACAAGATATATATCAATGACTTGGATGACAGGCACTGAGCAAGGTTTTTCTTTCCGTTCAGTTAGCTGATGGGAGTGTGAGGAAGAGGGCTCGCTCTCTTCTATTTGGGATGTGAGTTTTTTTCACAATTATAATGGTCGTACATGGGTGGCCTTAATAGTGGTCCTGTTTGATTAAAATTGATGGATGTTTTATTGTGGCTTTTCCAACAATTGTCCCAGTCAAACCAGCTCCACCTCCACCTTAACCCTCAGTCCATAAATTGAGATGTTCACTTGTTGCTGCACATAAATACATCAAATCAATTTAATCTTCAATATATTTTTTCTACTTGCATAAAATAATCCTTCGTCTTTTAAGAGTCTCTTTGGGCAGCTTTTTCATAACTTTTCTTTCTAGAAAGCTGCGACAATTATATTTGGATATAATTTCCTTGTTCTTTATTAGAAAAATCTATGATAGAAGTAATTTTTTATAATTAAATCTACTAGAGTGTGGTAGTTGAAAAAAAAACTATCTGATTTTTTAAGCAACAACAATAACAACATCAAGTCTTTATCCCACTATGTGGGATTGTTTAAAAGAAAAGAAAATTAAAGTGCCCATCAAAATTTTGGAAAAAAATTGTTTTCCTGATGACAATTCTGCTACTGTTATAAACAATTGCAGCCACCCCAAGTAAACCCTAAGGCTTTGTTTGGTTATTTCTTACTTTTGTAAAAGTCAATTTTAAGAAACATTGATTCAAAAAATGGAGTTTTTTAACGGAGAAGTATATATATATATATAAAGCTTTCTCAAAATAGCAGGAAAATGAAGAAAAAGGAGTTATTGGGAACGTGATTTGACGAACCAAACAGTAAAGAAGAAATAAATTTGTCGTTTTAAAACAGAATAAGCACCAAAAACTCCCAATCAAACGAAGCCTAAATCTGCTTATGAAAAGCTCCATTCTAGCTTTGCACGTGCATCATGTTTTATAATATTCGCAGGTTATATATCACTCTCTCATTTCCCCCTTTCCATTTTGTTTATCATGTATAATATATTTTAGAAAAACAACCCTGAAAATCCTCATTTTTCTAAAGAAGTGTATGTCTACTTTGCCATAGATGTGAAACAAATTTTGCTCATTTGATTTGAAAATTAAAGGAATTCATTTCTATATGAATCATGTATTCGTAAGCCATGCTCAGCTTTTATTCTTCTAAAATCAGTTTTTTGAAATATTTAAGCTGTCCTGTTGTCATTTGTATGATAGGTGGACTTGACGGCATATGTTGAAAAACATGAATTTTGCTTTGATGCTGTTATTGATGAACATGTCACTAATGATGAGGTAATATTCCTTGCTCAGCTGTGACATTTCTGATCTATTATTTGCTTGGTTTTTGTTCTTTGTATTTTTTTCCGTTCTTGCTTGTTCAAATTCAATTTTCATATTGTTTTGCATTTTTCTAACATTGCCTGTTGACTTAAACATGCAGGTGTATCGCGTAACTGTTGAACCCATAATACCAACTATCTTTAAGCATACAAAAGCCACTTGCTTTGCATATGGTCAAACAGGTGGGCCAAGAAATTAGATATCCGTTCATTTTCTTTACCGAGGCATTATTTTTTCCAATCTTAAAATATCACAATATATCTGAAGCATAGTGCAATTGTACAGCCAATTATACCTCTATTTTCCTCTGCAATATCTGTTTTATGTTTTGAATATTATCATTGTACTGGGTTTATTGATATTTTTTAGTTTGCAATTTTAAACCCAGTTATACCGTTCATTTTTCTTCAATATCTCTGCTTTTTTTAGAATATTATCAACTTTAATGGTTTCTTGATATTCATTATTAGTGCCAAAAATTTGTTTTTGCTTCACATATTTCAGAAAATGTATTATTAAATTCGTTCAATTGATGCTTATTACCTGAAAGCAAATGCGGAATTGTACCGAAATGTTTATGCGGCCATTTCTATGATCTTTTCTGAAGCTTAAAATAACTGAAAATGTAATAATAACGAATTTCATGAGGGAGGGAGAGGGTCTTAAAAGTCTTGGTTACAGATGCTACCTACTTTAACTGGAAAAGTTGAACCTCGGTGTTAATTGTCAATTGTTATTTCCAGAATGATAAACAATAACATCAATCCCTTATCCCACTACATGTGGTGGAGAATGATGATAAACGTTTGAACTAAATCTATTTTTGTTCTTGATGGTTGTGGAACTTGTCCTTGAGTATGTGCCTGGATAGCGTAACTTAGAGATCTATTGATCTGGGAGTAGTCAAGCATGAAGCATGTATACGTTTTTTTTTTTTTGGCACTGAATCCTACTTCTATTGCAAAGATAAAACCTTTTTAATCTCTAACGCTACACATTCATATATTATTAGAGCATGTAATTATTCTTTATGTAAATTAATTGTTGCACCCATCATCAATTCTTTGGATATTGTGATTCTTAAAATCTGCGTTACTTCAAGATGTACCTTTTTTTGTTGGATGGTTACAGGAAGTGGTAAGACATATACAATGAAACCATTACCTCTCCGTGCTGCTGAAGATATTGTTCGGCTGTTGCGCCAGCCAAACTATGTTAACCAGAGGTTTAAACTGTGGCTTAGCTATTTTGAGATCTATGGAGGGAAGCTTTTTGATCTTCTCAGCGATAGGAGGTAAATTCCTCCATACCATTGAAAGATTTTAAATTCTTGATTCAGTCTAGTATGATACTGAATCCATAAATTTAATGCTAATTATCCGTTGTACAAAAAAAGGAGCGTATGATCAATTATTTCTAAAGCTGTCCTAGATCAGCAGGAAGGCTAATAGAATGGAATGATTCCCATGGTATGAAGACTTCGGCTTGAGAAGAAAGGGCTGAAAGGTGCATTTAAAGGATTTGTATGTAATGTTCCCTAGAAAAGATTTATGAAATCCCAAATCTTCAATAACCTATCCAAAATTTCAAGCATGTTTTTCTTCTCTCTTGGAGCTCATATATATACAGCTATGCAGATTTAATAAAAACTCAAAATAGAGTGCTCTTCTTCTAGGTTAAAATAAATAATAGAGTTAGAAATTTCTGTTTCTGGTAATTTCATTGAAAATCTTTTTTTTTTTTTTTTTTTTTTTTTTTTTGTATCTTAGCGAACTTTACTAAAGAAATCTCAATTGAATACATTATCTAGTGGCACCTTTTGCAAGCTAGAGTGATTAGGGACTACATCGTGCCAGGTGATTTCACAAAGAAATTATATGATTTACATATTTGTGTGTTACCCAGAATGATTTTATAAAGAAAATCATATCCTTCATAGGCATGCCTACTCAGTCATTGTTCAATCTCATGCCAAGGCTTTTTTCTTTTATTTTTTTGGGGGGAGGGCATGCCTGTATTTTTAATAGTTTAGCATCATCATTTGGATGTTAGCTCGAAGGTTTAGAAAATATCCTTCATAGGCATACTTAGTCATTCATTGTTTTCTGATGAGCACCTTATTTTTGTGCAGGGCTCGCCTATATTTTGATCTGGTATTATCATACGGAAGTTAGCTTGATGGCTTAGCTTAATTTTCTTTGATGTATTTGTAATGTTTGGCCAATTTTAATCATCTTAAATTTCTTTGATCAATTTTTATCAGGAAACTCTGCATGAGGGAAGACGGCAGGCAACAAGTTTGCATAGTAGGATTACAAGAATTTGAGGTTTCAGATGTACGTATAGTTAATGAATTTATTGAAAAAGGAAATGCTGCACGAAGTACAGGCTCCACTGGAGCAAATGAAGAATCATCAAGGTCTCATGCTATTTTACAACTTGCCATTAAGAAGCATAAAGATATTATTGACACGAGAAGGCAAAATGATTCCAATGAAGCCAAGACTGGGAAGGTGATTGGGAAGATCTCTTTTATTGATCTTGCTGGAAGCGAGCGAGGTGCAGATACAACTGATAATGATCGTCAGACACGGTATTCTCTTGAAATCATACAAATTATCATCATTAATCATTCGAGTTCTCTATTATTAATACATTTTCTTAATGTGAATAACGTAGTTCCTTTTTTTGTGAGTTATTCTGTTTAGGAAATATTTTTATGATGTAATAGTTTATTTTTATGTTCATTTTTCCACTTTTAGGATTGAAGGAGCAGAAATAAACAAGAGCCTTTTGGCTTTAAAAGAATGTATCCGTGCGCTTGATAATGATCAAATCCACATCCCTTTTAGAGGAAGTAAACTTACAGAAGTCCTTCGTGACTCCTTTGTTGGAAATTCAAAGACGGTTATGATTTCCTGCATCTCTCCCAACGCTGGTTCCTGTGAGCATACCCTAAATACTCTCAGATATGCTGATAGGTACTTAAAAACTGCTACATCTTTTTTATATATGGTGATATGAGAAAGATATTATTTTACATTGTCATTTTGTGATTTTCAGGGTTAAAAGCCTCTCAAAGGGTGGAAACTCTAAAAAGGACCAAGCTTCTGTTCCATCAATACCATCCGCTAAGGAATCTTTGTCAACCTCATCCTTCGCCTTCGCAGATGAAACAGAACTTGTTGAAGCACCTAGAAGGAATGTAGAATCCTTTGCATATAATTCTACTACAGTTACTGACAGGAACACAGCTGGTTCAGTACCAAGCTACACATATAACGGTAGGGAAGACTGGACATCTGGTTTGCCATCGGAGAGGGAAAAGATAGAGGCTAAGGTAGCCTATGGTTCTTCCTCAAGTCATCAATTATATTCTTCAGTACAGAACTCTTTCAGTGGTCAGGATGAAGAAAAGGTAACAAAGGTCTCTCCGCCACGAAGAAAAGCCCCTAGAGAAGAAAAAATAGAAAAAAATATGGGTTGGTCTAGAAAAAATATTTCTGATGGGCAGACCAGAAGCAATAAGCAACAAAATGAACAGGAAGCTCCATTCAGCGATGGAGAAATTAGTGCATTGCTAGAGGTGCATACAATTATTCATCTTTTCCTTAGTCATCAGTTGATGATCGCATCACTTTCTGTTTGCAATTTCTTATATGGTCCTGATCTTTATTCTGAAAATTAAATGCAGGAGGAAGAGGCTTTAATAGCAGCTCATAGAAAAGAAATTGAAAATACGATGGAAATTGTTCGGGAGGTAAGTTCTGTTCCAACATATTCTTTACTGGTATTATCAAGTGCTGGAAAGCACGTGAAACTTTATTCAATTACAACAACAATGATAACGTCAAGCCTTTATCCCACTACACTGAGTCGGCTACAAGAAGCCTTTTTCTCAATTGTGTCATGTTAAGAGTCAATCTATCTTTTAAATCTAATAAAAAAAGACATTTCTAATATTTTTTAATCAATCCTTTTTAGATCTATTTCTATCTTTCTTAACATAGGATAAATATAATACATCTACTCTTTTAAGTCATCTGAAAGCTAATGTTTTATGTGACCGAATCATCTAAGGCAATTCTCTCTAATCTTATCTTACCACTGGAGCTACTCCAACCTTTTCACATATGTGCTATCTAAGGCAATTCTCTGTAGCTACTCCAACCTTTTCACATATATGCTCGTTTCGCATTGTCTCTAAGAGTAAAACCACTCATCCACCTGAACATCTTCTCCACACGACTACATTTAATTTTATGCTTATTTTTTAATGACCAATATTTTGCGCCATAAAGCATTGTAGGTCTCACCGCCATCTTATAGAATTTATTCAATTACAGAGCCAAAAACAACATAAAATGACAAGTTGACCCAATTGTGGAGAAATTACAGCCTAAATGCCTTTGATTTGAATCTAAAAATGATGCCCTCCTTTTAATAAAGAAAAAAATTGAGGCAGCCAAAAAAATTTAATAAAATTCATAAAACGCCCCCTGTAATGATATAGCCTGCAAATATTTGCTACCTTTTGGCGGCTCCAGAACCCTAGTACTCCCTGGCGGCTCCAGGAACCCTAGTACTCCCTGTCCCCCATTTAATCTCCATGATGACCATACCGCAATAATCAACCAATATATAATTCTGCATAGCATACTTCTTTGTAGAGCAAAAAGTAGGCTCCAAAATTTTAGCAATCATAGCTGGAGACTCAATGGGGCAAACGGGTGCTCATCTGATGATCAAGAATTGTGATCTGCATCCTTCTTATCAATTTCTTGTTTTGATTAAAGCTCTTCACCACCCTACTACTGCAATTTGATAGTTTTACTAGCTCACTAAGAACAAGAACGCTTTGAAAGTAAAGGTCCCACGCCTCAGCATTCCAGTAATACTAAGAATTCAAATTCTGAGAAAGCTTGATCTATTTAAACAGTTCTGGAGCATATTGTTACCCTAAACCCTAAACTTTATAAAGATCACCGGTCTATGAACGACAAAATATTATTAGGTGCGGAGACCGGACATCCATTTAAAATTTGACACGTTGAGTGCATTTTGGTTGTAATTTTTTGCACGCTTTAGTTGCGCGCTTTGAATGCTCTTTTGTTGTGCACAGGAGATGAATTTGTTGGAAGAGGTGGACCGACCGGGAAGCCAAATTGACAACTATGTTTCACAGCTCAGCTTCCTCCTCTCGCGCAAGGCTGCCGGATTGGTCAGCCTGCAAGCTCGCCTCGCCAGATTCCAGCACCGCCTGAAAGAGCACGAGATACTCAGTCGCAAGAAAGGTTCGAGACAATGATCCCTGTGAGCTCTCTCTATTGTATCTTCTAAGAAACATCCTTCCTTCTCTCTTTACTTCTGTTGTATCCTCTTTTCCTGATTGTGTCATTGCCAAAGATTTCTCATTCTTGAAATTGTACAATTTTGGCAATGCTGTGTGATTGATTTACCAGTCTATTTGATCTGTGGCCCTCTTTTAGCTTTTGGTGTGTTGGGGAGTGAAGGCTTGGTCTTTCAGAATGAAAGAAGAAGAATGTATGGGTGATAGAGATGATATTTTGTGTTTATTTGATTCTCTTTTGTTTTGTTTTTTTTTTTCATGAATTGGTAGAAGGTAATACAACTTAATTTACAAATAATTAAGGGCTTCTAAATTTAGTAACATTTGTTATTATATGGTGCAAATTCATATTAATTTAATTTTGGGGTAATTAAACTGTCATTAGTGTTCAATAAATTTTATGTTAATTTCAATTTATCCATTTTTCTCATCCTCACAAAATCTTGGCGTTCCGATGAGCTGGATAGGAGTAGATGTATTAGAATAGGCTTATATATTTTTTTTTTTAAAAAGTAGATGTTATTAGAAATTATTTTTAATTAATTTTAAATGAAAATTTGATTCTTAATAATAATAAGATATAATGAAGAAAAAAATTCAGTGATTGATTTCATATAGGTAATAAAAATTTAATGTTGTTTTTGCTTCTTTTTTGATATAAATAATAGAGTAAAAATATTTTGGGCAGTTGGTTTATTGTTGTTATAAGGTGTAATTAAATTATTATGAAAACTTGAATAAAGAAATTTCTCAACATCATTTTCATTTTAAAAAGAAGGATGTCCAATAAAGAAATAAATAAATAAATTTCTCATCAATCTTAAAAGAAAAAAAAAACATTTTTTTCTCCTCAACCAAACAAATTAAAGCCAAATCCTCCATTTCCATTTCATTTCCTCTTTGAACTCCTCGAAAACCAAGCAGAGGCAGAGCACCAATGGGGGTTTTTTTTTTTTTTTTTTCCTTCCTCTAGAATGATGCATAAATCGATTCAATTGTGATGGCTCTTCTCCTTTCAAAACATGAACAAAGTACTAAAACGCCACCAACTTCATGTTTTCTTCCTTCACAAAATCTTGCTCGATATGAAAGTCTTTGCAAATTCTGTAGCTTCTGATGTTCCTCCTGTCATTGTTTAAGCAAAGTTAGATAAATCAATAATATCATAGGGGATTATGTGGTTATTAATAGACAAAACCTGCATAAAATTATAATTAAGAGATACCAATGTTATGTTATTAAAAATATCAATTGTTCAGTTTATATATATCTCTAAAAAAATTATGATCATTGTGTCTAAATTGAGAGACAAACTGAACCAATATGTCAGATAATTGGACATATTCAGATTTCACAATATGCCACTGAATCAAACACAACAATATTTGATAAATAACACCACTGGCTTGTTAATAACATTGATATCTAAATAACATTGAATAAGCCTTTTAAATGTTTATAGGTCATTTAGACTCTTTATTAGTTGCAATTAATAGAAAACATTGTTATTGATGTTTTATTGATGTCTAAATAACATTAAGATTTTGCTTTGGATAGTTTTCTTACTGATGCTTAAAGCAGCTTTTTTCAATTTATCCATTTTTCTCATCCTCACAAAATCTTGGCGTTCCGATGAGCTGGATAGGAGTAGATGTATTAGAATAGGCTTATATTTTTTTTTAAAAAAAAGTAGATGTTATTAGAAATTATTTTTAATTAATTTTAAATGAAAATTTGATTCTTAATAATAATAAGATATAATGAAGAAAAAAATTCAGTGATTGATTTCATATAGGTAATAAAAATTTGATGTTGTTTTTGCTTCTTTTTTGATATAAATAACAGAGTAAAAATATTTTGGGCAGTTGGCTTATTGTTGTTATAAGGGGTAATTAAATTATTATGAAAACTAGAATAACGAAATTTCTCAACATCATTTTCATTTTAAAAAGAAGGATATCCAATAAAGAAATAAATAAATAAATTTCTCATCAATCTTAAAAAAAAAAAAACATTTTTTTCTCCTCAACCAAACAAATTAAAGCCAAATCCTCCATTTCCATTTCATTTCCTCTTTGAACTCCTCGAAAACCAAGCAGAGGCAGAGCACCAATGGAGGTTTTTTTTTTTTTTTTTTCCTTCCTCTAGAATGATGCATAAATCGATTCAATTGTGATGGCTCTTCTCCTTTCAAAACATGAACAAAGTACTAAAACGCCACCAACTTCATGTTTTCTTCCTTCACAAAATCTTGCTCGATATGGAAGTCTTTGCAAATTCTGTAGCTTCTGATGTTCCTCCTGTCATTGTTTAAGCAAAGTTAGATAAATCAATAATATCATAGGGGATTATGTGGTTATTAATAGCCAAAGAGATACCAATGTTATGTTATTAAAAATATCAATTGTTCAGTTTATATATATATCTCTAAAAAAATTATAATTAAGAGATACCAATGTTATGTTATTAAAAATATCAATTGTTCAGTTTATATATATATCTCTAAAAAAATTATGATCATTGTGTCTAAATTGAGAGACAAACTGAACCAATTTGTCAGATAATTGGACATATTCAGATTTCTCAATATGCCACTGAATCAAACACACAATATTTGATAAATAACACCACTGGCTTGTTAATAACATTGATATCTAAATAACATTGAATAAGCCTTTTAAATGTTTATGGGTCATTTAGACTCTTTATTAGTTGCAATTAATAGAAAACATTGTTATTGATGTCTAAATAACATTAAGATTTTGCTTTGGATAGTTTTCTTACTGCTGCTTAAAGCAGCTTTCTAGTACAAAATTTTATATCATTGATAAAAATAGGAACTGAACATTATGGCAAGAAAAAGTTTGATTCAAAGGGAGAAGAAGCGCCAGAAATTGGAACAGAAATATTATTGGATTCGTCGATCCTTAAAAAAAGAAATAAGCAAAGTTCCCTCGTTGAGGGAACAATGGAAAATTCATGGAAAATTGCAATCCCCACCACGTAATAGTGCGCCTATACGTCTTCATCGACGTTGTTTTTTAACCGGAAGACCTAGAGCGAACTATCGAGACTTTGGACTATCTGGACACATACTTCGAGAAATGGTTCATGCATGTTTGTTACCAGGTGCAACAAGATCAAGTTGGTAAGGAGAAAATCTTGTTTCCTATTTGGATAGATCTCTATAATCTATGATCTATAGAACATAGGGGACCCCATCACCTTTTTTATGAATAGGCAATCTTATTTCCTATTTGGATAGATCTCTATAATCTATGATCTATAGAATAGAGGGGACCCATTACCTTTTTTATAAATAGGTTATTCTATTTGTATAAATATGGTAGAGGGGCATATCCAATATATAGAACAACAACAATAAGAAAGCCGTCCCAAAACGATGCCAAAATCAAACAATACCGTGATTCAGTCCTAGATTCACTGATGAAATGCTTGTACTTCTAAGCCATAGAAATACAGGCCAGCATCCCAATCATTTTTTTTTTTTTTTTTTTTTTTTTTTTTTTTTTTTTGAAGTAAAGAAAATTTCAGAAGTGAACTTTGAAATAACCTTTTAAAATGAAAGGGAAATAATAGATATGTTGCATGCAGTAGTACTAAATGGAATTTATTCCTGTTTGTAGTGGCTGTACTGCGATGAACCTATGAAGTTTTTCCAGATTTTTGCTAATTTTAAAATGTCTTGTTTTGTTTCTCCTATTTTAATACTAATTTTTTTTTTATCTCCTCTAATTAATATTTTCTTAGAGGGCCATCTACTTAAAAAACTTAAATGTAGAAGCATTGAATTGTTCATAAAAAAGTAATCATCTAGTAATATTTAAAAGCATTGTCATGAATAAGAATATGCTAACTTGAAAAGCTCCATATCTGTAAGCTATTAAGGCTTTGTTTGGGACGGCTTTTTTATTGCTTTCTAAAATGGAGTTTTAGTACAAAATTTTTTATTTGTACTAAAACTCCGTTTCAGAAAGCAATAAAAAAGCCGTCCCAAACGAAGCCTAAATATCTCCTGGACATCTAAAGGAATGACCTGTAGAAGTTTCATGCCGCATAAAGCTCTGCCAATTGTAGAATTTGATGAGAGGTTGAAGCACACAATCTCATCCCTGCATTCCACACGATTACAAATTAACTTAGTTTTTAACCATATAATACCAATAAGGTAAGTTAAAATTCAGGACTCAAATATATAACATAACATCAAGTCTTTATCCCACTATGTGGGGTCGGCTATATAAATCTTTTTTCTCCATTGTGCCCTATTAAAAGTTAAATTTTCATTTAAATCTAATAAAGAAATGTCGTTTCTAATATTTTCTAACCAAGTCTTTTTAGGTCTAGCTCTACCTTTCTTAACATAAGTCAAATCTAATACATCCACTTTCCTAACCGGGTCATCGGAAGGCTACCATTTTATGTAATCAAACTATCTAAGACGACTCTCTCTAATCTTATATTCCACTGGAGCTACTCCAAACTTTTCATGTATATGCTCATTTCGTACTTTGTCTCTAAGAGTAAAGCCACTCATCCACTTGAGCATCTTCATCTCAGCAACTCTTATTAACTTAATATTATGCTTCTCTTTTTAATAGTCAGGATACAACCACCATAATTCAAATTTACCTTCAACTCCCTCTCTAGTCTTATTAACAAGAAGAATATCATAAGCATACACCAAGGTACAACCTCTTGCAAATGTCTAGTGAGAACATTCATAACTAAAGCAAAAAGATGCGGGCTTAAGAGATCTAATACAACTGAAATAGAAAAATACTTGGTCAAACCACCTTATGTCTAAACACAAGTAATAGCTCTTGCATACATATCCATAATGACTTGAATATAAGCATTATTAACCTTTTTTTTTTAGAACTCTCCATAATGCTTCTCTTGGAGTTTTAGCATATGCTTTTTTAATAAATATCATATGTAGATTCTCCCTATTATCTCTAATCTCTAAACTTCTCCATCAAACCTCTCAATAAATGTATAGCTTCCATGGTATACCTACATGACATGAATCCAAATTGATTTTAAAAAACATTAGTATTATTAAACTAAATCCTTACTACTCTTTTATCTTTGTTTGACTAACTCATACATATATATTTCCTCCTCATTAGTATTTAATCTATTATATAAATCATTAAAAACTAAAATATTTACATCTAAACCAATTTTTATAACAAATCTTCTTATTTTTTATCTTTTCTTGCACATTTTAATTCCACCACCAACTATTTTTACTATTATAAGTTTTTTTCTTTTCATTCTCCAATCATATCTTTTGTAAGATTATTAATATCATTAGTTACTTTTTCCCTCGTGCATAAACAAAATTTTAAGATCTAATATTTTACTCTCAAAAATATTTTTATTAATATTCTTTAAATGCTCCTATATCTAATCCTAGAATAATATTTTATATTATTTTTTATTTTCTATCCCTTCATCTTAAAGTCTAAAACTAATAAACTATGTTAGATACATAAACTTTCACTTGAAATAATTTTATAAACTTTGCAATCTAAACGATCTATTTTTCTTATAGAAAAATAATCAATATGAGTTTTACAATATCCATTCTTATAAGTAACAAGATGCGCATCTATATTCTTAAATAAGGTAACAGCAACTACAATATCATAGGCTAAAGAAAAATTCAATATGGTCTTACAACATTCATTAGTTACTCCAAACTCATAGCCACCATAAATGCTTTTAAAATCATCTACCTCTCCACCAACATGTCCATTTAAATCTCTAATAAAATTATTTTCTTCAAGAGGTATATTTTATATTAATTCTTCTAAGTCATTCTAAAATTTTAATTTTAAACCCATATCCAAACCTACTTAAGAATTATAAGCACTTATAATATTAATAATCTTAACATCAACAACAATCTTTAAAACTGTAATTCTATCTCCAATTCGATTAATTTTTACAAAAATATCCTTTAAACTCTTATCTATAAACACACATACATCATTTCTAGTACGACTTTTATCAGAATATCATAGTTTAAATCCTAAATTATCAATCTCCTAAGATTTCTCTATAACCAATTTAATTTCGTGAATGCATAGAATATTTATTTTTCAATGAATCATAATATCTATTAATTCCATTAATTTGTCTGTAAGGGTACTTATATTCTAATATTTTATCCTAATTTTAATTTTATGAACTAACTTCTTTGCCCACATCCGTCCATGATGTGGGAATTCTTGCTTATTTAACACTGCACCCGGGCACTGGTGCAGCGACCCTTGCACACTTGTGGCTGCATTTAAGCTATACAATATGTCGCTTCCAGGTAACGTCCTAGTATTAATACAAAGTATTAAAGGATTAATGTCATGATTATTTGACAAGTTTTACGCTTGTTGTCAGCTACCTAACGCAACCCTCCACTTTTCTTACCATGACTTCGGACCTAGCAACGGCAGTGTTCTCGCATATGCAAGCTTCGAGCCCAAGACCTTTTAGTTGGTAGTCAAAGCTCTCAACGAATAAATCAATGTGAGCTGCGATTCAAATATATAACATAGATGAGGGAAAAATTAAATCCACCATATGTAAATAAAAAACAAATCAAATAATAAATTTGAAATCGAGACAGATTAATTAATGTTTAATAATTTTTTTAAAGTTTAGTCTTATTTGATAAATGATACTTTTTATTATTTAATTCTTCGAATCAAACCTACATTAATGGTTTTTTATTAATTGTCATGTGGCTGTGAAAAAAACGTTCAAATTATAAAATATTTCAGTCGCTATTAATTAAGCCTATCTTATTTAGTCAACACTTGAATTAAGAAAACAAATCAGTGACAATAGATGAACTCAATAAGTACGTTTCATGGAAGAATTCATGGGATAGAGAAAAAAACTGGTCAGCAGGGAACCAATCTCAGTTGTTATCATCAGAGCTAAGCGCTTCTACTAAAGGCAACTTGTTAACATGCCCAAAAAAGCATTCTATGCAAAAGCTACCAAGCAGGTGCTTCCACATATGCACAAGAGATAAGCTTGCAACAAATGGCCTAAAGGAGCACTAAGATGTCTGATTTTGGCTATTTTGCATCATCCCAGCATGTCTTAAGTTACAATATAGGAAAAAATATGGGAATAGATCAATGGCTAAAATGAAACAGTAATACAGCTACTGCAACACACGGGGGTGGGTTTGACTTCCATCTAATGGGATTTTGGTTGTGAAGGTATAAGCTTGATTTTCTTACCATTATGTTCAAACACGCAGGTGTTTGTTCTCCCATAAATATGGACATCGTTGTAAAATAACCACAGGCGATCGAGGATAATCTGACCCATGTCTATAGTTAGCACATCGCACCAAATCTTCTCTTGATATCCAACAAACTCTATGGGAATAAGACTTCTATCCTTAATTTCTATGATAGTCGAGTTAATCCAAGTGACCATATATGGGTTCAGGTGAGGTGTCGCTTTTATGTTAAGTTTGGATATCATGACTGAGGAGACGGCGTTGATACAGCTTCCACTATCGATGATGATTTTGCAGTTCTTGTCTCCTATCTTAGTAAAGGTGTGGAAAATCGAAGTTCTTCGCCAATCGTCACCGGGTTTGGGTTGGGACAACGCACATCTAACGACTTGTTTTCCTTGTAGAAGAAGTCTTCTTCATTGTCAACATGATGGGTTAATTCAGTCTCAGGTTCTTCTCTTCTTCTTCAACCTCTTCGATTATGGTGACCTTGTACGGACTAGAACACTGCGAAGCGATGTGTTCATAACCGTGGCACCTATAGCACTTGGTTCCAGAAGTGTCTTTGGGAGTGTCACGCTCGGGAGTCTTCTGTGAGCTCTCTCTATTGTATCTTCTAAGAAACATCCTTCCTTCTCTCTTTACTTCTGTTGTATCCTCTTTTCCTGATTGTCATTGCCAAAGATTTCTCATTCTTGAAATTGTACAATTTTGGCAATGCTGTGTGATTGATTTACCAGTCTATTTGATCTGTGGCTCTCTTTTAGCTTTTGGTGTGTTGGGGAATGAAGGCTTGGTCTTTCAGAATGAAGGAAGAAGAATGTATGGGTGATAGAGATGATATTTTGTGTTTATTTGATTCTCTCTCTCTCTTTTTTTTTCATGAATTGGTAGAAGGTAATGCAACTTAATTTTACAAATAATTAAGGGCTTCTAAATTTAGTAACATTTGTTATTATATGGTGCAAATTCATATTAATTTAATTTTGGGGTAATTAAACTGTCATTAGTGTTCAATGAATTCTATGTTAACTTTCAATTACATGCAATCTACTTTTTTTTTCGTAAAGAAAATTATGAACATCATTTTCATGTCAAAAAGGAGGATATCCAATCATCACTCAAGGCAAGCTACTCACAATAAAGAAATAATAAATAAATAAATTTCTCATTAATCAAATAAAAATAAAACAAATTTACATATTTTCTCCTCAATCAAACAAGAAAATTAAAGCCAGTTTTAACTCAAATCCTCCATTTCCATTTCATTTCCTCTCTATGAACTCCTTGAAAACCAACCAGAGGCAGAAGCAACAATGGAGGATTGGAAATTTACATACATACCACTTTATTTCATACTATTTATAATATCTAACACTTAAAACATTAATATTATCCTACCATTTATATACAACTTTAATATCAAATATATCACTCATATAATTTATTTCTACCATTCATACCATCCTATAAACCATAATATTTCATTTCATGCACCTAAATTTGTTCTATGGGTGGTAGTCATGTAATATTAATGTTTTGAGTGTTATATATGTAAATAGCATGAAATAAAATGAAATGTATGTAAAACCCCTTTTTTTTTCTTCCTCTAGAATGATGCATCAATCGATTCACTTGTGATGGCTCTTCTCTTTTCAAAACATGAACACCATTAAATTAAAAATTAAACTCCAACAACTTAATGTTTTCTTCCTTCACAAAATCTTGTTCAATATGAAAGATTTTGCAGATCCTAATGTCCTCCTGTCATTTTTTCAAGCTAAGTGAGATAAATCAATAATACCATAAGGGAAGATAGTTTTTTTTTTTCGTTTTCTAAACTTATATTCTATTCGTCTAAACATTAATCTTCCACTTTGCACAATATTTTATATCTGAAGATGTGGCTAACATGCAACAGATCCCCTAAATAGAAGGCATGCAGTTGAAGAAAGAATAGAAGTAGCTTATGTGGTTATTGATAGCTAAAAAGCTGCAAAAATTACAATTAAGAGATGTCAATGCTAGTTATTAAAAATATCTCTGAAAATTTTATGATCATTATGTCTTAATTGAGAGAGAAACTGAACCAAATTGTCAGATACTTAGAGCTATTCAGATTTCTCAATATGCCACTGAATCAAACACACAATATTTGATAAATAACACCACTGGCTTCTTAATAAAATTGACTAAGCCTTTTAAATGTTTATGGGTCATTTAGACTCTTTATCAGTTGTAATTAATAGAAAACATTGTTATTGATGTCTAAATAACATTAAGGTTTTGTTTGAGACAGTTTTTTTTATCGCTTCTTAAAGTAGCTTTTTAGTACAAAAATTAAAATTTTTATACAATAAAACTGCTTTAAGAAGCAGTAAGAAAGTCATCCCAAACAATGCCTACATCAAACAACCCCTTGATTCAGTCCTAGATTCACTGATGACATGCTTGTACTTCTTCTAAGCTATAGAAATTTTCAGAAGTGAACTTTGAAAAAACCTTTAAAATGAAGGGAAATAACAGATATGTTGCATGCAGTAGTACTAAATGGAATTTTTTCCTATTTGTAGTGGCTGTGCTGCGATGAACCAATGAAGTTTTCCAGATATTTGATAAGTTTAAAATGTTTCGTTTTGTTTCTCCTATTTTAAACTTAAAACTTTTTTTTATCTCTAAGTAATATTTTTTTACAGGGCCATCTACTTAAAAAACTTAAATGTATAAGCATTGAATTGTTCATAAAAAAGTAATCATCTAGTAATATTTAAAAGCATCGTCATGAATAAGAATATGCTAACTTGAAAAGCTCCATATCTGTAAGCTATTAAATATCTCCTGGACATCTAAAGGCTTTCTTTGTTAAAAAAAAAAGGGAAATTTACATACATACCACTTTATTTCATGCTATTTATATATCTAATACCCAAAACATTAATATTACATGCATACCACTCATATACAACTTTAATATCAAATATACCACTTTTATAATTCATTTTCTACCATTCATACCATCCTATAAACTTTAATATTTCATTTCATGCACCTAAATTTGTTCTATGGGTGGTAGTCATGTAATATTAATGTTTTGAGTCTTAGATATGTAAATAGCATAAAATAAAGTGGTATGTATGTAAATTTCCCAAAAAAAAAAAAACTTTAAAGCAATTAATTTAGTAAGAATTGAAAACTAGTATATGAATAGCTACCAGATATATGTGTGCGATATTAGATCAAATTACTTCTGATGGCATGTCTTCAGACTATTTGAAGTGGGCATAAAACAAACAACTATGCTTTTTATCTAATAAAAGCACAAGGAGTGACCTGTAAAAGTTTCATGCCGCATAAAGCTCTGCCAATTGTAGAATTTGATGAGAGGTTGATGTACACAATCTTATCCCTGCATTCCACACGATTACAAATTAACTTAGTTTTTAACCATATAATACCAATAAGGTAAGTTAAAATCAAGTTTAATCAGGACTCAAATATATAACATAACATCAAGTCTTTATCCCACTATGTGGGGTCGGCTACATAAATCTTTTTACTCCATTGTACCCTATTAAAAGTTAAATTTTCATTTAAATCTTATAAAGAAAGGTCGTTTCTAATATTTTCTAACCAAGTCTTTTTAGGTCTAGCTCTACCTTTCTTAACATAAGTCAAAATACATCACTTTCCTAACCGGGTCATCGGAAGGCCACCATTTTATGTAACCAAACTATCTAAGACGACTCTCTCTAATCTTATATTCCACTGGAGCTACTTCAAACTTTTCATGTATATGCTCAATTCGTATTTTGTCTCTAAGAGTAAAGCCACTCATCCACTTGAGCATCTTCATCTCTGCAACTCTTAACTTAATATTATGCTTCTCTTTTTAATGGTCAGGATACAAACTCCATAATTCAAGTTTACCTTCAACTCCCTCTCTAGTCTTATTAACAAGAAGAATATCATAAGCATACACCAAGGTACAACCTCTTGCAAATGTCTAGTGAGAACAGCAAAAAGATGCGGGCTTAAGACTGATCCTTGATCTAATACAACTGAAATAGAAAAATACTTGATCAAACCACCTTATGTCTAAACACAAGTAATAGCTCTTACATACATATCCATAATGACTTGAATATAAGCATTATTAACCTTTTTTTTTTTAGAACTCTCCATAATGCTTCTCTTGGAGTTTTAGCATATGCTTTTTTAATAAATATCATATGTATATTCTCCCTATTCTCTCTAATCTCTATACTTCTCCATCAA